TCTTATTGCTATGAGTAGCTGAATTAATTCCTTTAAGTTATCTTAGACTCCCATACCTACACAGCCCTCGGATCCCTCTCATTCCGGTGCGTCCGATTCATCTCTGTACCCCCTACCCAGAAGCTCATCAAGAGCCGCCCATTGTCCATGCCTCTCGCACCGGCGATCACTCCCTGCCCTTCTACGGTATCCTGGGCTGACACAGGCCCACCAGCTTCCTCTGGTTCGTCCTCGAACCACACCGTACTGGGACAGTACCGGCTCTGATACCATTTGTAACGACCTGAGGCCGCTACAGAATGATAGAGTTGTCCCCACACACCAACATGGGACCTTTTAGCATGTTTTGTCCTTTCTCGCACACATCTCGGAAAGTACTTCACAGTAGGTCACCCATCCTAAGACTACTCGAAGGCCAGCACGCTTAACTTTGGAGTTCTCTCGAAATGGGCAACCGAAAAGGTAGATGCATCTTATTGCTATGAGTAGCTCAATTAATTCCTTTAAGTTACCTTAGACTGTGTAGTCCCATACCTACACAGCCCTCGGATCTCTCTCATTCCGGTGCGTCTGATTCATCTCTGTACCCTTTACCTAGAAGCTCATCAAGAGCCGCCCATTGTCCATGCTTCTCGCACCGGCGATCACTCCCTGCTCTTCTACGGTATCCTGGGCTGTCACAGGCCCACCAGCTTCCGTCTGGTTCGTCCTCGAACCACACCGTACTGGGACAGTACCGGCTCTGATACCATTTGTAACGACCTGAGGCCGCTACAGAATGATAGAGTTGTCCGTACACACCAACATGGGACCTTTTAGCATGTTTTGTCCTTTCTCACACACATCCCGGAAAGTACTTCACAGTAGGTCATCCATCCTAAGACTACTCGAAGGTCAGCATGCTTAACTTTGGAATTCTCTCGAGATGGACAGCCGAAAAGGTAGATGCATCTTATTGCTATGAGTAGCTCAATTAATTCTTTTAAGTTACCTTAGACTGTGTAGTCTCATACCTACACAGCCCTCGGATCCCTCACATTCCGGTGCGTCTGATTCATCTCTGTACCTCCTATCCAGAAAATCGTCAAGAGCCGCCTATTGTCCATGCCTTTCGCACCGGCGATTACTCCCCGCCCTCCTACGGTATCATGGGCTGTCACAATTAACCTGTCATGCCTTGTTAGGTCTGAAACCTGCCATATGTGTTCAAAACCTGCCATACCTTATGAGGTTTGAACAAATCATTATAATAACCCAAATCTAAAAGAAAACCCCAAATTACCAAATAACTTAATGGTAATCAGAATTTTTTTTCCCAGAATTTATTTTTATATATAATATACAAAATTTTCATAAATCTAGATACAAACTTTAAAATCCAGATTTTGAAAATTATAAAATAGTATATATAAAACTAAAACAAAATCCCGAAAATACAACACAATAGCGGGGCTCTGATACCAATTGATGGAATCGAAAGATTCAGAAACTTTAATAAACCCCTGATCTAAAACTATGTGATTGCATATCGGGATTGAAATAAACTAGATCAAAGATTCAGAAACCGAACCTGGAGTCATGATCGGAAGCGTAAACAGTTATGAGCTTCTGATTCTTCGTGTACCTTAGCCTCTTAATTCTTTGATGGGATAAGAATCAAGAACATGTAGAGAATTCTTAAGATTGGTTTGTCAAAACCTCATAGTGTAGAGAATGAAGATTTGTGCACTATTTATAACAAAAAAGAATGAAAAATGCATTAACATGTATTGACCAAGAAATCAACGGTCATTCTTTTTCTTCATTAATCAATCAATTAAATGTTTATTTAATTGATCAAGACTAGTGCACATTCAAAGAATCTTCCATCTACATGAACCAAAACCAAACCAAACTCCACATTAGTCGATACACATGAACAAGGGACCATAACCAAAATCATTATTCGGTATTATCCAATTTAACCCATCATAAAATTAGATAATAATCGACCGGTATCTACGCATATATTAAACCCTATACTCGATTCAATACCGAAGTCCAATAGGTTAAAACTGAAACCCGGTCATATTTAATTGGACTTAACCAACATGACAAACCTTATTCCATAATAATCATATCCGGTCCACAATAAAAGTATAAAAAACCTTACAGTTTTACCTCACTCGCACACATCTCGGAAAGCACTTTCCGAAAGGTCACTCATCCTAAGACTATTTCAAAACTAGCACCTTAACTTTGGAGTTCTCTCGAGATGGGCAACCGAAAAGGTAGATGCATCTTGTTGCTATGAGTAGCTTAATCAATTCTTTTAAGTTATATTTGACTGTGTAATCTCATACCTACACAACTCTCGGATCACTCTCATTCTGGTGCGTCCAATTCATCCTTTACCCCCCTTCCCAGAAGTTCTCACGAGCCGCCCATTGTCCATATCTCTCGCACCGGTGATCACTCCTCGTCCTCTTATGGTATCATGGGTTGTCATAGGTCCACTAGCTTCCGCATGGTTTGTCCTCAAACCACACCGTACTGGGAGAGTACCGGCTCTGATACCATTTGTAACGATTCGAGGCCGATACGGAATGATAGAGTTGTTCTCACACACCAACACGGGACCTTTTAGGGTGTTTTGTCCTCACTCGCACATATCCCTGAAAGTACTTTCCAAGAGGTCACCCATCCTAAGACTACTCCAAGACTAGCACGCTTAACTTTGGAGTTCTCTCGAGATAAACAACCGAAAATGTAGATGCATTTTGTTGTTATGAGTAGATCAATCAATTCCTTTAAGTTACCTTTGACTGTGTAGTCTCACTCCTATATAGCCGTTGGATTCCTCTCATTCTGGTGCGTCTGATTCATCCCTGTACCCCTTACTCAGAAGCTCATCAGGAGCCATCCATTGTCCATACATCTCATACCGGTGATCACTCTCCGCCCTCCTACAGTATCCTGGGTTATCACAGGCCCAGCAGCTTACGTCTGGTTTGTCTTCGAACCACACCGTACTGGGAGAATACCGGTTCTGATACCATTTGTAACGACTCGAGGCCGCTACGGAATGATAGAGTTATCCCCACATACCAACACAAGACCTTTTAGCGTGTTTTGTCATCACTCGCACACATCTCGAAAAGTACTTCCCAGAAGATCACCCATCCTAAGACTACTCCAAGGTAGCAAGCTTAACTTTGGTGTTCTCTCGAGATAGGCAACCGAAAAGGTATATGCATCTTGTTGCTATGAGTAGTTCAATCAATTCTTTTAAGTTATCTTTGACTGTGTAGTCCTATACCTATACAGCCCTCGGATCCCTCTCATTCTGGTGCGTCTGATCCATCCATGTACCCCATACCCAGAAATTCGTCAGGAGCCGCCCATTGTCCATACATCTCACAACGGCGATCATTCTCCGCTCTCATACGATATCCTGGACTGACATAGTTATAAAATGACACATTTAAACTATTTTATGTTTGTTTATTCTTAAACGATATTAAATTAGCATGATAATAATTGTTAAAAAATGCATATATTGGGATTTTGTCTGTAAAGGTTGTATATAGTGGTCATTTTTAATTGTTAAATTCTAACTTTTTTTCACCAACAAATGGTGCCGTTGGAATTTGGAACGAAAAGAATCATTTAAGACTAATGATAATGTTTAAGACTAATGATAATGTCTATTCTGCAATACACCATATTCATTAAGTCTTTAGCACGATATTTAGCTTGAGATTTAAGCACAAATTAAGACTTATTCCACTACATAACCTTTTGCCCTTTGGAGTATAAGTTACAGTTTGAGACGTGTTATCCAAAATATATATAAAAAATGAAAATTTCGTAATTAAAAATTCATATACTATATCAGAAAATTGACAGGAATCCATTGACTTTATAATAATACTATAATTATTTTCATCAATAAATTTGGAACAAAAAGAATCGATATTTTTTGTTTAAGTTTGAGTATTTGTTATTCTGTATTATTTTTTCCGAACAAATAGAAATGTAAACATTACGATGGTATGATTGAAATTTAGAAAATGAAAAGGTAGCGTGGGTTTCAAGGAACCTCCTTTTGGCGGCTTTTGAATAATCACCATTTGAGTATTGATTAATTACTAAAAACGGAGGTATATGATTATCCCGCCCACGCATATAAAGAAGTTTTTTTTAATGTTTTTATTATTTTATTTTCCTATATCTCTTTATCACAATTCGAATTATATTACTCTGAATTATAAATTAGAAATTCTATTAAAAAACTAATAATTTTTTAAAATTTATCAATTATAATAATAATAATAAATAATTTCTTACAACTTATCCACGTTGTAGTGGTTGTGTGTTAGACGCTTGAAATCCTTCTGTCGCAAAGTGATATTTAGGGGTTCAAGGTGACCACTTCGATTCTATATATAAGTCGGGAGGAGGAGTGCAATTTAATTACAAATTAAAGACTGATTACGGATTCAAAAGATGTATTTGGACCAAAGGTTTATAAATCTTTGGTTACAAAAAAATTACTTACAACTTGATATGATATTAAAGGTCGAAATATATCCCCGATATTCAAATCTATTAATGTTTTTTTAAATAATTGTGGTCGACTACGTACGACGATGCTTGAGCATGAACTCCTAGATTGAATTCTTAGTTAGAGATATCAAATATATATAAAATAATCCAATGCATGGTACGTAGCTGTGTCGGAGGCGTTTTAGACCATGCATGGTAGTAGTAGCTTAATGTATCTAACGTATCAAATCAACGATTTCTAATGTATTACAAAGTTGAATTACCATCGCGCCGGGGCATTTTTATGGAACATTAAAGGAATTGGCAAATATTTGTCCTTTGTCATCATTTCATCAGATAAATTAATGGATAAAATAAACAATAATTTTTCACCAATTGCCTAAATTGAGAGTCTCTACCAAATATAAATACAAGAAGTTTATGAACTTTGACAAACACCCCCCCCCCCCCCTCTCTCTCTCTCTCTCTCTCTCTCTCTCTCTCTCTCTAATGGCGACCAATGGTGATAATATAATCAAAATGTTGGGGTTATTAATCACAGTAATTACATTCGTTAATCACGGTGTTAACAGAGCCAGGGGACAAGGGGTGAAGGAAACAGGACTGTTCCCGTTCGGGGACTCTTACTACGATGTCGGAAACAAACAGTTTCTCACCAATGACTTCTTGCCTTCATCTACTTGGCCGTACGGCATTTCCTCCGACAAACCCAACGGCCGCTTCTCCGACGGTCGTATCGTCCCGGATTTCATCGGTACTACTTTGAAATTTATTATTATTATTATTCTTGATTTTGTAAAGAAACTTAATAATAATATGTAATCCAATATACCTAACCAAAATATAATTTTGTGTTTTTTTGGATCGGTTTAATTAATCGCAGCGGCGTTCATGAACATACCAAACCCTATTCCACCGGCGCTTAAACCGAACGCAGATTTCTCTCATGGAGCTGGTTTCGCCGTCGCCGATGCTTCTGTTCTTGGAAATTCTTCTGAAACTGTAAGCCAATTTTATTTTATTTTTTGTTATTACTCATAAAAAAAAAACACGTTTTTTATGTTCGTATTTTACAACTTGACACAATTTCCAAAAATTTTCTTTTTGTAGATGACGTTTCCCGAGCAAGTGACGAAATTCGGAGATATGAAATCGAATTGGAACGATACGTTCCTCCGAGAATCTCTGTTTCTGATCCAAATCGGGACCGAAGATTACTTGAATTTCATAAAGGGCACCGATGCCGATGTCACTAAACAGCAAGCCTTTGTCGCTGTCGTGATCGGCCGAATAAAGAGCGGTCTCTCCGTAAGTCCATGCATTTTAATCACGTTACCTTATGTTAAAACGTAACAAAATGTTAATTAACATATATGGTCTCGCAGTTACTATACATGCTGGGGGCAAGAAAATTCGGGTACCAGACATTGGCGCCGCTAGGTTGTCTTCCGATTGTGAGGCAAGAACATCAGTTAACAGGAGATGCTTGCTACGAAAAACTCAACGAGTTAGCGAAACAACACAACGAGAAGATCCGGCCGATGTTAGAATCTCTTGCGAAACAGTTCACGGGATTTCAGTACACCGTTCTTGATTTCTACGGCGCCCTCTCTCGCAGGATTCTTCCAGCAGATCATGCCTCCAATATTTTCAACAGATACAGTGAGTTTTTTTTATAGATAAATGGATATCGACTTCATTTGCGCCTATACATACAGAGTTGTTTACAAAGATCCGAGCCTCGGACACGACTAGTTTAGCCGTTTAGAATCGATCAAAACATCGAGTTTCATCATGGTTGCTAGGTTCTCTAAAATATTAGGGTCATGGTTTGTATTATATATACAACAATAAGTAGAAAACCCTAATTGTAAACAATTACGATAGTGCCCTTATACCGAGAATGCTACTGCTTATTATCGATTCTTGAATGACCCTAATATTGTAGAGAATCCAAACCATGATCTCTCACCTATATATGTGTATATATATATATATATATATATATATATCATTGTTTATGTTTTTTTAATGTGGGGTTTTGTCCTAAAACCATTGGAACAGGATTCGCTAACACAATAGACGCGTGCTGTGGAATCGGATCGCACAATGCGTACGGGTGTGGTTCCATAATCGTACACTCTAAACTGTGTGAATACCAGAGGGCTTATCTCTTCTACGACGGCAAACACAACTCCGAGAAGGCGAACGAGGAAATCGCTCACCTCTTCTTCGGGGCCGACCCCGACATCGTCGGTCCCATGACTCTCCGTGAGCTCCTCGTCTTCCCTCCTAATGCATCCATGCTCGAGTTCTAAGCAAGGAACATCATCTTCTCATGTTGTCCCAATGAGAATAATTTAAGCTTTCGTTATATATATATATACATATATATATGTGTGTGTGTGATGAATCGAAATGAGGGATGTGTTCCTCTACAATTATATGTATCATGAATTCGATTTCGCTTTGGACTTGAATGGCATCTTACAACTTCTTTCATTACGATTTTTCATACTCCACAAAATAATCATTAGATATATAATATAATGTCAAGATCACATGTTTTATATCATATTAAAACAGTATGAATTATATGCTAAAACAAAATTGTTAAATGTTTTTTTTTACCTTTTTTTTTATCCATCTCTTGATCTTATCAAAAGTAGGAATTAGAATTTTGTTTTAGTTGATATGTTAGTGATTTAGTTTGAGGTTATAAACAAGCTAAAGAAACGAGGATAATAATAAGATAATTAATATGTTTTAAGGAGGATAATAAAGTAATTAATCTGTTTTTTTTAATATTCACTTATATTATATATATACTCTGGTTGGTTTCTGAACAATTAGGTGAAAGAATTAAGCCCACGTGGAAAATCTGACAAGTAAGTCTGCGAATCTTTAGTACATAATATAAAAACAAATATACAAAAATGGCTCCCACATGACATTTGTGGAACAGTGGTTCGTTTTTTCAATGTTTGGTAGATATATATATATCATAATAAATGCATTTTCACAATATAGAGAGAACACAACAGACCAATTTTCTGATTTGGATACAAAATAAAAGAACCAATAATTGCCGAACATTGTTAAAGCTAATCCAAATCGACTTCTGTAATAATACCATTTAAAAAAAAAAAGGTTTTCCTCTCATTTTTTGGATTGTAAAAATACAAATGTCGATATATGTGTCATATAAAAATCTTAATGATAATTTTATAATTATCTCAAATGATAATTAGGATAAATCCCACAAAAAACCCTCAATCTCACCCTTGTGTAATTTAAATACACCTTTAATCAATTAATTTTTGTAAAATCTTATGTAATTAAATAAAATTTTAATATACAGTTATTTAAAAATATATTTTTAAGATTTACCCACATTAAAAAAAAGGTGGCTCACCTGCCTAAGCACTGCGATGTAAGAAATGACATCTCACCCTTGGGAATCGTGATTATGAAATGAAAGCTCACCCTCTGATAACCGGTCATGTACCATTTCCGGTTTGATCGAGTTTTCCGAAAATCACATTGGTTATCGAGTTTCCTTCCTATAATATTGATAAATATATGTAGAATGATACCACGTCCGTTTGTTTGGATAACCTTTTGGCTCAGTCTATGTACTCAACTTCGTATCGTCGATAATATATATCATCAAGGGAAAAACAATGCAAGTACCTATACACCACACACACATATATACATACATAGATATGTAGACGTGTATGTGTAATTATATGGAGACTTGCGCACATCATATATATGTATATATGTATGCATACATGTATACAGAAAATATGGAAGGAGTGCATGTGGACCATGTGGGAACACACGACAAAGACGTAAAGATAAACAAGTCTCTTCCTGTACTGCCAGAATCTTACTCGAAGACGGAAGAAAAAGTGAGATGTTCGATTCAGACACTCAAATGTTTCGAATATATTCCATTCGCAAACCCTTTTGACCATTCGCTAAGCAGAAAGCAATAGACAATTCCGAATAAGATCATATGAAAGTTCATCATTGATGATAATTCTATTTAAGTTTTCTATCAAAACAACATTATTGAGTACACTAAAACCAGTCTCCAAACCTCAAATGAAGATCGGTAGAACTTTAAGGAAGACAGCCTAGAGGTGTAGTGTACCTCTATTTGATTCATCAACCCTTATATCAGAGATATAAAGAGCAGCTTCCCATGTTAGAGAGTGAGAGATCACTCCCATGGCGGCTCCTGGCTTATGCAATGCAAAGGGTCAGCTGTTTTGTACCATTCCCCAAACAGCAGATCCTGAAACAAACCAAACTAAACTACAGATCATATGAGGCAATAGGGCAGTTTTGGTTTTGAAGAGCGTGAAAACAAATCACTACCATGCAGCCTTATTTACAGTAAACGAGAGGTTGATCTGTTCAGAAGACCCCTTCAAGCACGGAAGGGATTTCGTCGAGGGTCCAGAGGTCCATGGGGTTTGACCCGTCCTGAGTTGTAGCAGCGTCTCCGCTGAAGAAAGCTTCCAGTGAAGAGTCCCACGTGGTGTTGTCCAGAAAAGATGTTGGGAAGTATTTCACCTCCATCAGCTCATCAGAGAGTGACTTATCGGTGCTTGAAGCAGTGGGCTTAAGCTTCTTGGATGGATTAGTGTCCTCCATGAATGGAGTTGAATCATTGACAAGCATGGAAGATATCTCAGGGGTCTTGGGTCCTTGATCACTCCACCCGAATTCGGAACAGTCAAACGAGTTACTGCCCTGGTCTGAACTGAAATACGGGTATGCAATATCTTCAGCATCGAACAAGTTTGTCAGCCCAAACTGATTGTTCACATGTGGTTTCTCATCCACCAGCCCCGTATTATCGAAGCAATCTTGTCCCGGATTGTCAGAGTTCGAGATCTGATCCATATACGGCTGAACCAAAGTTGGGTTTGGTGGTTTCGCCACTGGCTTCTGAGGATTGGCCTTAGCGAGGCATTTCTGGCTGAGACGAGGGGTTTCTTCAGGGAAATTCACCTTAGCTTTCTTGCCACGGATTCTTCGTGCCTCGGCATCATAAGCTCTAGCAGCTTCTTCGGCAGTGTTGAAAGTCCCGAGCCAGACTCGAACACCTTTTCTGGGGTCACGGATCTCAGCTGCCCATTTGCCCCAAGGTCGTTGCCTGATGCCCCGATACTGGTTCTTTCTCTTCCTCTTAACGGATTTCTCGGTTTGCCCATTGAACTCCGGACCTTTCTTGGATGGGGCAGAACCTATGTCAGGAGAAACCAAACGAAACGAGTTCAAAGACAATCAATGAACAATACACTTCAACCATGGACTAAACTGTAACAAAGGCATCAATCAATACCAGACATGTCTCATCCCATGTATCTAACTTAAAAGTATGCCATACCATAGCCGTAGGTTTAGGCAAGACAATGACAAAGAAGAACATATCAATCCAACCAACAAAACAAACATAAAACTTCTCCAGATGATAACAACATGTCTCCAGAAACTAAATTCTAATTCCTATTTAAAACTCTAGACTCCTAACTTGGTAAAGATCGACATAGAGGGATCTGGTTACAAGACAGCAGGTAGATCATCCAACCAGTTCATGAACCCCAAAGAACGATCAGCGATTGACAAAGAAAAGACTCGGAAATCAACTCCAACCGGATATTGAATCATCGGATGGAACAGCATACAACCTAAAAACGGTTCGGTAAACTCCTAAAAGAACTAACAGGAAAAGAACCAAGAAGAAGCCCGAGATCACTTGATGAAATCCTAAGCACATGTAAGAAGATTTTATTTTTTAAGAAAAAGGCAATAAAAATGCAAAAAAGAAAACCACAAAGATCTTCAATCAACCTATAAAAAAATTCCAGAAAAAAAAGGCTACTTTCTTGTTTCTTTATCCAGGAATTTTAACAATTAAAGCCAAATCTTTTCTAAAGGAGTAAAAAGGGTAATAAAAAGTGATATTTCACTGGAGGAAACAAAAAAAAAACCACAGAAACCAATATCAGAAAGCTACCAAATTCAGAATATTACACGCAAAAGTCTTTACCTTTTCCGGTGAAATGAAATAAAATATTGCAAATAGAGATCAGAAGACATGAATCATAACATGCATATACGACGAACACATGGAAGACAAAATCACTGAAATCAAATGAACCAAAACCACTCAAATCACAGACTAATTTCTACCAACAAGCTTCCCAAGCTCCAGAAAGTAACTATATCGAATTACAGTGGAAAGCCCTAAATTTTACCGTCGGAGTCGGCGGCGGAGCGGACGGCTGGTTTCGGAGGAGCGGCGAATACAAAGGGCTTCACATCGGAAAAGACATGATCGGCATTGAAATCATCCTCGAAATCGATAGACGAGTCATCTTTGAAACCCTGAAAATCAGCCTCGAACTCATTCTCGAGATCGAAGAAATCGGACCGCTTCTTCGAGTTCTTCTTCAAGCTCTTCGCGTTCTTCTTCAGATCCGACCAGACATAGTCGCTAGCACCCCGGTGCGATTTCGGCGGCGGTATGAAATCGGAGATAATTGCACCTCCACACATGTCGGCTCACGGAAAGGGTGTAAATGTTCACAAATGGAATCTTACCGGCGAAAACGAAAAATCTCTCTCTCTCTCTCTTCTTGATGGAGTTTCTCTTCCTCTCTTCTTACTTTGGCTTTTTTTTACGTCAGAAAAATAATAAAAGAGCTTTACATATGATTTTCTGGAGCAACGAGGTTGCTATTTTACTATTTTACCCTCTTCTGGAGCTAGTTTTACGGTCATGCCATTTCGCTGGCAAATTCATTTATTTAATTTTATGGTAAGATGCATTCAATGAATGGCTTTTGATTTTGTTGACTAAACCCTAAACAAAAGTAGACGAATATAACGCTTCTAACTGGCAAAATATAAGAAATATCCTCCTTTTTATTAAATCTAGTATTTCATATAACCTCCCCAGATATAACCATATGACCAGATATTATCTGTATAGTCACAACGTTAAATTTTTTATAATTTCATTAAGTCATTAGTGTAATATATATGTAAGATGTGACCATGATGATTTGATATGATCACCATAAATTTAACGTTATTGTGATATTCATATGATCATACAGTTATTATGGTCACATCGGGGGAGAATATGTGCAAAAGTAATTTTAGTAAAAGGAGAATATTTTGGATAATGTCCCTTTCTAAGATATATAGTCTCATTTTATTCCACCCATATTTTTTTGTATTATAATTCATAAATTAATCGTGTATTTAATCTAATTACATCTTTTATAAGAAAATAAAAGTTCGATTTAATACCATTTCTCACGTTTAGATTTAAATTCGAAATAAAAACATATTTTACATGTAACCTCTTTTTTTTTTTGTTACATTCATTTTAACTTACTTTTTCTGTTTTTTTATTCAATTATAAATTTACTATAATCTACACTTTTTAAAATATTTCCACCTTTTTACGTTAATTTAATATTTTTTTATTTGTTATATATGATTAAATTATTTTTTTATAACCAGTATAGTTCTCCGGGTCTTCGGTCCGATTACCTCCACCTTAGATCCGAGAGCAGCTTTTATATATGATGATTAAATTATTTTATTAAATGCAAAAGTTTGATGTCTATTTAGAAGAAAGTAGTCTCTTATAAGTCCATATAAAATATAGAGAGAGATAAAAATATAAAATACAAAAATAGATTAGATTGAATTAAAAAAAGATATCAAACTTCACTAGACTATAGCCAAAATAATTACATCTAATTATTTTGTCTTATATTTTCTATTTATAGTCATGGAATCATGATGTTTCACGTGTATTATCGCCTTTTTCTTTGGAAATTAAGGATGGACACCGATAGGATAATCCGTTCTCCAAATCTTGAAAACTCGAACTTCAACCCGTCATATGGGTTTTCGTCCTTTTAATACTCATCTGCCTCATGACAACATGGCCAAGCTAATATGGCGCGGTAAAAAAAATGAAAAAAGAAAAAGAAAGAGAATGAAAAATTGTAGAGAGTGCAGTACACGCGCGCTTCTGAGGGAACGTAGTCAACTTTCAGACAAATATATGCCGCTGAATCATAAACTACACGTGGCATTTAATCGTTGCCCCGCTTCGCTATCTCACCGAACAATACACCTAATTAATTATCGTATTTATTTTCGTTACTTTTTTTTTTGCTTATTTAACTTGTTTTTTTTTTGGTAAATTACTTATTTAACTTGTTCAAACACGTTATTACTAATTCCCCAATCCTAAACTCTGAGACCCGCCCTAGACTGTTAGTATTAAATTACATCATCCCAAAATATCTTCTCGAAACACATAATAAACATTAACAGTTACTGAATGTTATAGAGATTAATTAATCATCTAAATTTACATATATATATATATATATAGCCGATGACGATGACGAAAATGCCCAAAAGCAATGGATGGCTGGTGCAATTACTTGTTTGGAAAATAATATAACCTACCGCATAATAATCAAAGAAAAATAAAAGAAAAGAAAAAGGAGACCCTTTTGACGAGTTTTACTAAAAATATTCGGACTAAGATCAATGAATTGATCATCGAATTATAAATCTAAAAGTTTGATTTAACATGCAACCTTTGCTATCTTCCACTACTTTATGAAGATTGACATCAGCACGTACATTTACAATTATTTTGCGATTTATTATTTTTTGATATTTAACTTCAAGCATAAGCCTTTTTATTAATCTAACAAGGAATAAAATAATTGAAGAATTGGTTTCTCATTCATTATTTTTTTTTGCACTGATTCACATGAAAGAGATTACGTGTCACCCTCTGTAGGGTTCAGATACTATGCATTTGTCTCATGACAACAGAAACAAGCCGAGCATGACTAATAACCATTAGAAACAAATTAATAATAATATGCCACTTAACCATATGAAACAACATTTTCTCAAACACGATATTACATGATTAATAAAACTTGTTCTCTGCAAGTTGCAGACTGCAACATCGATTCGATCGTCAACTTGGGTTACATGACTGACCATGGGCATGCCACAAGGATCCGCATCCATAGCAAAATTCACATCCGCACCTAAAAAGACAAACCCTTAATCAATATGTAATCCATGCAAACTCAAGAATAAAAAAAAAAATGCGTTTCTAATAGTAATTAAAGCTAAAGTACGTAAACAGCAATTGCGATGGATATGGAATATAACCTGCATGATATATGAAGACATCCGTAAACTTTCTCCACGTAAAACTTGCAATTCGGACATCTCCTCCAACTCTTGGCCTTCGCCATCTCCATCACCATCTGTTCTTCCACCGTCACCTTATTACCGTTCCCAGATCTCCGGAACTCATCACAACCAATCCCAGCATGCCACGTCACCTTGCACTGCGCGCAGAACAGCCTGTGACAGCGAGGGCACTCCGTCGCTGTCACCGTAACCTCAGTGTTCCCGCCATCTTCCACCATCAGAGCCGAGCAGTCCTTGTGCGGACAGTACACTCTCTCCGACGCCAAGATCAACGACTCGCACAAAAAGTCTTCCCACCGCTCGAACACGTCGCGTGGCACCAGATTACGACACGTGTACGGCTCCAGAAGCTGCGTGCACTCCACGGCAGGGCACTTAATCCGCGCCGAGCTCTCTCTTATCTTTATCGCCACGTAACTCGCGGTGCAGTCCGTACAGTACGAGTGAGTACAGCTGGTGGTTCCTCGGAAGATGTCGGAGGAAGATTTCTCTTCCATGCAGATGATGCAGAACCTTCTAGAAGGCTCTTCGGGTTCTGTCTTCACCCTCGACTCTGACAATGCCGCCAGTGGGGGGAGATATCTCGAACAGGAAGAAACTAGGGCTTCTTGGAGGTGAAGCTCCATGGCGTAGCTCTCGTCGGAGATTGGGAAGAGTTCATTGTAATCGAACAACGCAGAGAAATATGCTTCATCTACTAAGACAGGAACATCATTTCTTGATGATGATGACGACGACGACGATGAACCGTCGTTCACCATTTCTGGATCCTACTTTCAACTCGAAATTGCTGGTTTTAGGACTTGAGAAGATGATCTCGTTCTTCTGTGTAAATATATCGTTGCTGTAATTTGGTTTCAGTTTATTAATTAGGGTGGAATTTGAAGTTTTACTTTACTTTTAATTTAATTAGTTATTAATTACTAGCATTGGAATATGGAATTTTCGAAGACAATTAAATTGTGGTCAAATGTATCTTTGTATATCGTGAAAGAGAATTGAATAAAATATCTTCTTGGAATTCGGGTATTTGAGCCAACTGTAGTCCAAGTACAAATATTTCGTCCAATACATTGGATACACATAAGAATTATATTAGAAGAAATGAATCAATGGTCCAAATACAAATATTTTTCCCAATGCGTTGAAAATGTATATACATTTTTTATTCACATATCAACCGGGCATGTACGTAGCTGTAATATTTGAATCCCACATATTGGACATTATCAAGTCTCTTAAGTTTATTTTGTCCGATTATTTGCCAATACGATGGTGAAATACAGCACGTAGACCATACACATACACGTATATATATGTATACACACAAAATCTCATAATAAAAGTTTTTTTAGTAAAAAAAAACTCAGCACTTTTTTTTGGTGAAATCTGAATATATTAATTATAAAAAAAACATTTTTAAATACACTCCGATTGAGCAACCGTATGAAGAAGCAGAACCTCCACGAGTACAACTTTACAAAAAAACTAAAGAACAAAAGGATATAAGCATTGGTAATTATGGTGACCTTGTTAGGTAGAACCAATCCTACAAGAGTAAGTTTTCTCCTGGTTGCAACTCTTTTTTGGTTGATAAAATAACATTCCGCACGAGTCGATCAAGTTTGTGTCTAATGACAGCTGGTTCTGAGAGTTGAGACCAAAAAATTCGGTTATTCCTCTCTCGCCAGATCAGATATATGAGTTCCTACAATGTGATCTTAGCAAGTGCTCCCCTTTGTTTGTCCCTACATTAGTCAGCTGCCTCGATCCATCTGTGGATTTGCGGTAAGAGGAATGGAGGATCAGGTCTGATCCTATTAGCAAAATGCTTCCATATCCCAGAGCTAAACGAGCATGCAAGGAAAAGGTGATCATGCGATTCCGCTGCCTGAATACATAGACAACAGGTTGTGTCTGTCTGAGCTCCCCATCGATTGAGCCGATATTTCGTTGGCAACCTTCCTAAGCAAGCCTGCCACTGGACGAACGCGTATGGTGGTACGGTGTGTTTAAACCAAATATTCCTCACCCATGGTACCTCCGAGGATTGTGATCTCAGCTGGCTTCATGTCCTCCTGTGCTAAAAACCGTCTTGAATGTGGTTGCGTCGTATCTCTACAGGGTTGTGTCACTCCCCTTATCTGGCGAAGGTGTCTCCATGGTCATCAGAATCTGTTGTAGTCTTTATGTCGTGTCTGAGTGAGCTGCCGGAAGATGCCAATCATTGGTGTCTGTAGCTTCATTTACTTTGGCGTGAAGTGGAATACGCAGTTGCGGGTCTTTGTTCTCCCACGTATTGGAGCAATGGACCAAGGTCAATCCAATGATATAACTAGAAGTATGTCTCATGTCCGTTCCCGAGCTTCTTCTTGAGCAACGGCCTTACCAACTCCTTAAGCTCTATTAGCTTTCTAAGGTTTCAAGAGAGTCGAGAAGATGGGTTGATCATTGTCTAGTAGGATAAGTTAAAAAGAAAATCGTACAGAACACTCTCATTAAAAAAAAAATACTTCGTTGATTATCTATCCAACATGCACTATGACACAAATCTTACATTTACAATATCACATTAGAATGACTAGCGGAAACTCACAAATAGGCTATAATTATATATATAATTTAAACATAAACAAAAGGACGAGTTAATGATCGTGAATTAACGCAAAAATATACAAAAAAATAAAATCTACATTAGACGGCAACCAAAATTACGAATAGGATTAACTTCGGTTTTAAAAAAAAACTATCATGATTATGATGATAATTTTGGTTTACAAATCAGTTTCATTGAAATTTCGGTCCACTTTCATCCATGAATAGAATTCTTACGATTAAATTATATATATATATATTGGCTAATTACGATAGAACATAGATACGTCCAGACAAATCAATCAAGACACTACGCCGAAACTGAAACAGTGTTCCGCTTACAAATCCATAAACGACGACAGGCAATGAGATCACACGTTTAAATTCAGGATACAACAAAGATTCTTGAATAAAACTTGTTCTCTGCACCATCGACCGACCGTCAGCACTTACCCTCCGTCTACTGTTCTTCGATCTTCACCTTAACATCGCTCCCAGGTCTCAGAAACTCACCACCACGACCAGTCCCAGCGTGCCACGTCGTTTCGGGCTCGGTCTTTATCTTCTTCTCCGATAATATGGCGACTCCAACGACGTTGTTATGATGAAGATTCTCCGCCTTTAACGGGAGATCTCTTGAGAGGGAAGAAACTAGGGCTTCTTGGAGGTGAAGCTCCATGGCGTAGCTCTCGTCGGAGATAGGGAAGAGTTCATCGTAATCGAACAACGCTGAGAAATACATCTCATCTACAGATGCATCATTTCTTGATGATGATGATGATGATGACGATGCATGGTTCATCTTTTCAAGATCTAGAGTTTAACTTCGATTTGTATGTTTCAGGGGCTCTGCAGTTTATCTTGTTTTGTCTGTGTGCGTGTGTGTGTATATATATCGTTGCAATAATTTGGTTTAGTTGATTGGGAGGAATTCGAAGAGTTCTTTTACTTTTTGATTAATTAGTGGTTAATTACGATTAGCGTTGGAATATGAAAATTTCGAAGCAAATAAATTGTGGTCAAAAGAGAATTTAATAAATATATTCTTAAATTTGAATATTTGAGTTCATAGTCCAAATACAAATATTTTGCCCAATGCATTGAATGTGGATACACATTTGAGGGGTATTTACATCGTTGTAATATGTGAATGTCAAAGAACTGATATGGATAATATCAAGTTTCTTATGTTTATTTAGCCCGGTTCAGATAGAAATATTGATTTACCGAACCGATTGTGTAATACAGCACGTAAACCGGACCGGATCACTCATATGAACCGGTCTATAAATACTCTCTAAATCGGTTCTCCCTTCGACTCTATCTGTCTGTGCCGTCAATCGCAGATTCGCTTGGTTGGGTATTCGCCGCCGGTTACTGCCGTCGCTCCTGTTCTTCGCGTTTGGCCTCTCGTTTCGTTGATCTCCAATACGCAATCGCTGGAAGTTCTGGGTAAGAAATTGTAATCTCATTTCGGTCCTCATCTCGCTTGGATCTTCTAGATTCGGTGCCCTAAGTTTTCATTTGGTGTTTTCTCTCCATTTCTAGTTCGAATTGGTGGATTTTATTGCTGAATTTTGTAAGGTACTCGTTTCGATTTTGCGTTATTGATGGTAATTTTCCCGATCAATGATACTTCACTTGGAGCGATGATTTTGGTATCGCGATATTCCGATTATATGCGCGAGTGTATGTGCGCGTGTGTGTATATGCTTATGCAATTCTGTAGTTTCTGGCTTGTTTGAGATCGCAGAGTTCTATTACATTCTTAACTTTGAATATTGCTTTGTTGGATGATAGATCTAGCTATTACTTTGTTCTTGTTTCCAAGCTTTGGTTTCGGATTCTGCTTCTGTGCTTAATACCATGAGTATAAACAAAGCTGGCATAGTTCATTGTTACTTGAATCTTGCAATCAGTACTAAAATTCAATTACCCGGTTTTTCTCTGGAAGATTTGATTGAGCTTTTTTCTGTGATCCTGATCCAGCAACTTTGTGTTGTTCATATGCCTGATGGTTAAGCCTTTGATATTTGGTTTAATGGGTACTATGTTTGTTCATCTACATCGAAGCAGCTTCTTTGTCATGGCTTTCAGATCTTCGTTATAACCTCCCGCATCAAAATCTGATCGTTTCGTCGTAACTGTGTCAGTGTCACTGTGAATGGTTTCTGAGACGTGAAGGAATTTAATTCTTATACATTTCGAACATGAATGCCGAATTCATCCTCTGTTCTTTCGATAACAAGTCTCTTAAAGAAAGTGGAACTCATTGATATGCAGGAAGCAGACAAAGATGAACACGGACATCACAGCGTTGGAGAAGCCTCAGTACCCTGTCATTGATCGGAACCCACCATTTACCAAAGTGGTCGGAAACTTCAGCATGTTAGATTACCTCCGCTTCTCGACCATAACCGGTATCTCAGTCACAGTTGGTTATCTATCCGGTATGACCCTCTCTCCCGCGAAATCACGTTTGCATTCTCTGCCTGTTCGCGGAATCTTGTAAAGACAGGAATCTTAGTAGTTGTAGTTGTTGTTTGTTCTTACAGGGATAAAGCCGGGAATAAAGGGGCCATCGATGGTGACGGGTGGGCTGATCGGGCTGATGGGAGGTTTCATGTACGCTTACCAGAACTCGGCGGGTCGGCTCATGGGTTTTTTTCCTAATGATGATGAGGTTGCTCGATCCCAGAAGCATGGTTTCTCCAAATGAATCTTAACTGGCTGAGTTTCCCGGGGGGGTATCGAATCATTGTTGAAGATTTCTGGATCTAAAGTTTGATCCTTTCTTTTTCCAAAAGTAGCAACTTTTGTGGGTTGGAATTCAAGTGTGAATTTCATTTCATGTGTCTGTGTTTGATTCCTGATTTCAGGGAAACAATGTTCTTGGAAAATAAATATACAAAGAATGCCCCCTAAACTATATGAAAAAACAAAACTTTGGAGAGCATGTGTCAAAAAAACATGAACTTTTTTACATTGACACCACTTATGTCACTTTTGATTTAGCATTTTCATTTGATTAGATATCTGACTTCCGATCTTTATTTATTTTTTTTTGGGGTCATTTTCATTAAAAAATCGGAAATTCTGTTTATGCAATAATCTTTTACTCTTTCATTGATATATATGTGTATATATACATATATGCATATAGATGTGTGTGTAACCCTCTTGCATAAATATCTTATTGGGACTCATAATATCACCATAGAGTGGCTGCGGTAGTAGGAACCAAACAAGTTCCTTTCAATCTTCTGTCGATCCTATAATTTATGATAATTCCATATGATGCAATAATCGTATACTGCACCATCTCATGTGTTTCAATTGTATTTGAATCATGCATGGACTTGTCAAAATGAGACGTAGATACGTACGTACGTGCAAAAAAAAATTACATGATTATACATAATCTAATTCTAGCATTATAATGGCTACGTCAAGAGGACTGATTCAAAGGGACTATAAATGACTTAGGAACGTGTCGCCGATGCCGCCGCCGGAGATCTTCCAAAAGAATCTGAGTCTCGGTTTTTCCGGCGCCGGAATTAGCCAACAGTCTCTTTGTCGAAACCTCGAATTCATCTCTCTCATCCATCAATATCTGCCGATCTCGACATTCAACGGTGCAAAATCCAAGATCTCCCCTGGATATAAAATTACGTAATTCACTCATCAAACCATATATCTATATATGTCGGAAAAAACAAACAAACACATAAATGCTGTGAAAGCTTTAACTCATTTGAATCCAGAACATGTATGAATCGACCACTCTGATTCAAACCCTAATGAGCATAAACGAGTACACACATCGCATCGTGAATGTAATTACATATATATATATATATATATATATATGCATATACCGTACCTGTACATGTATACGTCTTTGTCTTGTCGGAGCTTTTTCTTGCATAGATGGCATCTCTTGAGGTAGCAAAGCTCAGAGAAAATCCGAGAGGATCGATGAACCGATTTCACGGCAGGTTTCATCAATATGTTATTGGGCTTCTTCTCTTTGGATGTTGCTATCAAGAGCTTCAACCCAACATGCGATGATTGATGCCTTCTGTTTCCGATCAATCTCTCTTCCCTAAGACTCAAACCCTGCAGCATTTTCTCTCTCCTGCTTTTACTTGTTATATTTATACGAAAGAATATAGAATAAGAACACAAGAAGTGGAAGAGATGAAGTGAGGGATAGTCAGAAGAAAATCTGATATATATACACACACATATATATGTGTGTGTGGATATATCAAGAGGGCGAATTCACGATACTGTTGGTTTGATGGTGTGTCTATATGTCTCGATTAAAACGTGGGCAATTACTATTTTTGTCTCTTTCCTTTTTTTTTTCCTTACACATGACAGCGATTCTTTTTGTTTTGTCGGAAAACAATATAATTAAATTATTATATTTTGTTAATGTTACTACAGTGTAGGAATTTATTTTTTTAGTCAGGTTTATTAGAAAAGGTGCATGGGAAAACATTTTTTTTCACGTGGAGATTTAATGAGTAAACCTCTAAAAGACTTATTTTAATGAAATGTTGACCGATCTCTACGTCCAAATGCAATGTTGGTGCCAAACACTACTTTTACCCTTTTATAAAATGTGGTCAAAGATTTATCAAGTTATTTAATACTGATTTTTTAGAATTGATTTTGTTGTTTTTATTTTTATTTTATTTATCTTCAAGTACTATAACAAAAAATTAGGGTTTCGGTCGGTATAATTTGAATAGTATATCATTTTATCAAACCAAGCTCAATTTTAGAAAAATATTTGGTGTAGTTTTTAAATTATCTTTTTAATACGAAATCGAATTTAAATATAACCGCATCAAACTAAGAAATCGACAACAAAACAGATACAACATTACAACAATATTTAAATCCCAAGTTTGTTTACAACCGCTCGTATAATTTTTTTCTCTATTCATTTTGATTTTAGATTAAATTTTCTAAGATTTATAAACACTACAATATCATAATTTGCAAATCATGACAAATAAAAAGAGATAAATATATATTTTTAAATAGCTCAACGGATAAAAGAAACTAATCAATAACATTTACACGAAAAAGAAAGAACAAAAAAACCAAGGCCAAAAAAAAGTTGTGGTTAGTGGAGCATTGTCGAGTATATAAGCGTGGGAGGGGAGGGAGTCAAGCCTTTCGGCCATGTAATAGGTTCCGAATTTCTATTTACATATTTTATAATATTAAATCTCGAAGCAAATAATTATGGAATTGGCAATTAGAGTACATTAAAATAATCAAATTGGTTTGGTTTCTTTGAATATTCGTGATTTGTTTTGGTTAATGACTTCAAATTTTTTGTTTTTCTTTATTTTTCTCTGTGTTTAAAATTTTATTTTTCCCATTCATGAATAATAAGATAATATTTAGTTTGATCGTTTTTTTTCCATTTCTATTTGAGATTTTAATAGGGCGTCAATTTGTTATAACTTTTTTATTAATTCTTGTTTCTTCTTTGCATTAAGTAATTTGTTTTATGAATATAATTCCAATTGGGCTTCGTCTTAGGCCCATTAGTTTTTTCCCTTGTCTGTTTGGTATGATCGTGTAACATGGTATGTTTGTGTGTGTGTGTGTATATATATAGCTGTAATATACTAATAACGTTGCATTTAATTTAATGGAAATAATAACAATGCAATATACAGATCTAAAAGTTATTTGTTGGAAGTCACGATTATAAAATAAAAATTTAGTGATAAGCAAAATTTGTTGGAAATAGTAACACCATTTTCGCTCAATTTTAAAAATTTAGATGAAAAGTTTATTTTTTTTAAGAATTTCACGTTCGCATACATGAATAATATGCGTCATTCAGCCCCATAGGCGTAGCGTGTGTGTGTGTATATATATGTGTATAAAAAGAAATCGATATTTTAAATATTGAAAATGATTTAATTGTAAAATAAGGGTCATATATTTATGATGGTTAGTAGAATAATGTTTGTTCCTAATGATATATAATACATTTAAATATATTTAAAAATGATGACTCATTTGTTAGATAATGTTTTATAATTTCTCGTGAAGACAGACAATCACGAGAAGTTTTTTTTTTTTTTTTGGATAAATCAATCACGAGAAGTTGAATATGAATTCATGAGTACAATACAAAAGATTTGCTGCGTGAGCGCATACATACATACATACATACATACATACATACATACATACATACATACATACATACATACATACATACATACATACATACATACATACACAGGGGTATACATACATACATACATACACAGGGGTAATACGGGAAATGCGGTTGGGAGTTTAGTTTACCTACGCGAAGGTCTAGATAGTGAAATGTGAGATCCTGCCATCTCGATGTCGCTCTCTGCCACAGAAAAATATTTTTAAAAAAATGAAAATCAGTCAATAGCTCGACCACGACAAAAACTATAAAAATATTTCAAAAACTTTCTGGAATCAAAAGGGCAAAGATTGCCTGAAATTCGAGCATGGATCATCGTCTGATGATTGGAAATTTCCTGGGGAGGTAATTTGATTCGATGTAAACTCGGGAAATTCGGAAACAAATGCTCTTTGAATCGTGATTCGGAAATTGAACCCTTTTGATTTCGATGTTTATTTTCTTCTCCTTGGAGCTACGGAATTATCATTTAATCGGTTTCTCGGAATCGGGTTTTCTTCGATTTCGTTTGTGGTCGCCTGTCATGGAAGATCTTGCTTGAAGGGTAAAAGGGAACAAGAAAAAATTCGAAGCTTTCTCCGATCCAACCAGAATTCTTTGGTATGATGAATCAAGTTCAACATTTCTGGTTAGTCTCGTGTTATTCTGATTGGTTTTCGTGTTAAATCTGGCCATTGTCGATTACGGGATTCATTTTGGATTTCAGACAGTGATTGGCGATTCAGGGTTGGATAATGGTTGGATTAGGAGTTGGGTTTTCACAGTGAGACAATTTTGGTGTTAACTTTTCCGTCTGGCTTTGGTTTCTCAGTGAGGGGGTCAGCCAACAATCTCTGGACAAGGAAAAGTAGTTTAGGGTTCGGTCTGAAAATTGTCTTTTGTCATCCATCTTTCTAGTATGAGAAATAGAATCCGTTTAAACTCGGTGTAGGTGTTTGGGCATGACCAGAAGCTCTTTTCATCTTGTTATAATGAAGCAGAGAATCATAGTCACTGGTATCCGGTTGAATATTCTATAATGAGGATGAATTATTTGAGGATTTCGACTTTTGGTCTTTGAGACCTTGATGGAAATTGCCCTGTTCTACCGGTTAAGACGATTACTGATCTTTGTAGTTGGGTTTTAATCATTTGGGGCTGAGCTTTGTTGCTGCTGTAGGTATGATATCCTAGACTTGTATGCTCATGTGGCATGATGGTTTGGGAAGATATTAGATGGATGCAAGAGATAATAATAAGACACTATCTGAGATAGTGGGTCTGGTGAAGTCCTGGCTTCCCTGGAGATCTGACCCAGCCACTGTCTCCCGGGATTTTTGGATGCCTGATCAGAGCTGCCGGGTATGTTATGAGTGCGATACCCATTTTACCCTTATCAATCGTAGACACCATTGCCGTCTTTGTGGCAGAATTTTTTGCGGGAAGTGTACAGCAAACTCGATACATATCCCCTCCAGTGACTTGAGAACTCCCCATGAAGAGTGGGAGAGGATTCGGGTTTGCAATTACTGTTTCAAGCAATGGGATCAAAGTGATGGCGGCTCACAGGTTCCAAATAACGCAGAACTTAGTTCTTCGCCTTCTGCTACAAGTCTTCCTAGCTCAAAGTCCAGTACTACCGCCCATAGTAGCAGCTTTGCTCTTGGCTCAACGCCAGGTGTAATTGGACCTTCTCAAAGGGTTCAACGCAATTCTGATGGCAGTTTACATATGGTATCTGCATTGGAAACAAACACAATTAGGCAAGGAACCGGGAGGAATAGTTTCATTGCTGCAGATGTGGAAGATCCATGCCGTTTTACCCCAAACAGGTTCTTTTCTTTTTTTCTTCTTCTCGAAACGCTCACTATTTAGAACGAGAATTTACTTCATTGAATTGACTTATTTTCCTTTTTGTGTAAGATGTTATTTTAACTTGTGAATATGAATAACTCTGCTGACTGAACTGAAAACTTCAATACTTTCTTCTTTTCAATTTGGTGAACTTGTACACGTTATTACCAGACGTCGTCTTGGAAAAACTAAAATATTTTTAAGCGCCGTACGTTCAGTAAAGATTTCAAATTGTATTTCTGCTTCTGCATCAGGAGTGATGATGAGTTTGATGAGTATGGTGCATACCAGCATGATATGGAGACGAGGCCTTCTCCTCAAGATAATGAATATTATGGTCCGGTTGAATATGGTGAGATGGGTATTGAGGATGGCTGTAAGTTGCATCTCGATGGAGAAGCCGCTGACATGAGAAGTTTAAGCGGATCTCCACTCATTCGTCATTGTTTTCAGTCTCTAAGTTCAGATGAAACAGAACAGTTTCAGAAGAGAGATGATCGGGATGGCTGTGACGACACTTATTCCCCTGCAGATACTTCAGAAGATCCGGTGGATTTTGAGAACAACGGACTTTTGTGGGTTCCACCTGATCCAGAAAATGAAGAAGATGAGAGTGAAAGTGCTTTGTTTGATGAGGATGACAATGAGGGAGATGCCTCGGGAGAGTGGGGGTATTTACGTCCTTCCAATAGTTTCGGGAGTGGAGAGTACCGTAGTGAGGATAGAACGAGTGAGGAGCATAAGGAGGCTATGAAAAACGTGGTTGACGGGCATTTTAGGGCTTTGATTGCTCAACTGTTACAAGTTGAAAATATCTCGGTAAGCGATGAAGATGGAAAAGAGAACTGGTTAGAGATTATCACCTCTCTTTCTTGGGAGGCTGCAAATTTATTGAAGCCTGATACAAGTAAAAGTGGTGGGATGGACCCGGGTGGCTATGTCAAAGTAAAATGTTTAGCTTCTGGATCCCCACGAGAGAGGTATGATCCAGTAACATATATGTATTTTCTAGATATATTTGATCCTTAGTCTTTGTTCCTTTGTTTCATACATTATGTGCTTCTCATCCATTTCCTGGCATCATCATATTTTCAAGATTATTGTAAAGTTTCAATAACTTGGGATCAAGACGATGTTGTTGTTGTATTGTAAAGTTTCAATCTTTTTAAGTTAATCTATATTTTGTATTGTTATTCACAGCATGGTTGTGAAGGGAGTTGTTTGCAAGAAAAATGTGGCTCACCGGAGAATGAGAGCAAAGATTGAGAAACCTCGGCTGTTGATTCTAGGCTCTGCACTTGAATATCAAAGGATTAAAAACCAGCTGTCAAGTTTCGATACTCTGTTGCAACAAGTAGAATTTGCCAATCTTTTTATCCATTGTCTTTTGCTTCTCTTTCATCATTTAGATATGCATTTGGTTGTTTATACCTAAACCTTCTACTCATTATATTTGTTTGGGTTTCAGGAAAAGGATCATCTAAAGATGGCTGTGGCAAAGATACACGCCGAACGCCCTAATATTCTCCTCGTAGAGAAATCAGTTTCTCGATTTGCACAAGACTACCTTCTTTCCAAAGACATATCCCTTGTTCTGAACATTAAGAGGCCACTTTTAGATCGCATTGCTCGATGCACTGGTGCTCAGATAATTCCTTCAGTAGATCATCTCTCTTCTCAAAAACTGGGTCACTGTGAGAATTTTCGCGTGGAGAGGTTTCTTGAAGAACATGGTTCAGCTGGTCAAGGTGGGAAGAAATTAGTGAAAACATTAATGTATTTTGAGGGTTGCCCAAAGCCGTTAGGCTTTACGGTAAGCAACTCGAACTCCAAGCCGTTAAAAAAAATAGAGTCCCCACAATTTGTTTTAACTTGTTTGCCTTTACTGTCCTTCCTGCTTCAGATTTTGCTTAGGGGTGCTAATGGAGATGAGTTGAAGAAAGTGAAGCACGTCGTCCAATATGGAGTGTTTGCTGCTTATCATTTGGCATTAGAGACTTCATTTCTTGCAGATGAAGGAGCCTCCCCAGATCTTCCATTGAACTCTCCAATAACTGTGGCACTTCCTGCTAAATCTACAACCATTGAACGTTCAATATCTACTGTACCAGGTTTCACTGTCTCCACAGTTGAAAAGTCAAAGACTGTTCTATCTGGTGTTGAACCACAAAGAACAAATAGCCTCCCAACATCAGGGCCGATATCATCCATCAGCAATCTTTCAGTCCAGAAGACCGAAATGGATATAAATCCTGTGATACCCGGTTCTTCAAGTTGGCAGCCTAGAGAAATGAATCCAAGTTTTATCAGTTCCCGCCCTGCTGTTCCACTGAATTTGCCTTACCGTGTGGTAGAGGGAAGAAGTGCAATTTTTTCGGAACGATCATCAGTGGTGGACACATCAGCAGAGAACATTAGGGCAAATATAGCAGCTGATTATACAACCCACAATTCCTTTAGGTCATTTCATTCTCCAGATCAAGCTGTTGTTCCAGGGATTTCTCAAAATGATGTTAGTGTTGCAGCTGGTGACCGAGTTAACGATTCAGGGGTTTCAACTGTGCAAAACGAAAACAGTGAGAATCGAAAGGAGGCAGAATCTCTAAAAGAGGAATTTCCTCCATCACCTTCTGATCACCAGAGCATTTTGGTTTTCCTGTCATCACGGTCAGTGTGGAAAGGAACTGTGTGTGAGAGGTCCCATCTCTTTCGGATAAAATACTATGGGAGTTTTGATAAACCTTTGGGCCGGTTCTTGAGAGATCATTTGTTCGATGAGGTGAGGTTTTCTTTCCTGATTATTCTCTCTATGCCTCTGTATGGCTTACATGGGAACATGGTGTAACCTAAAAGCTCAAAACTTTTGCAGAGTTACCGATGCCGTTCATGTGAGATGCCATCAGAAGCACATGTTCACTGCTATACTCATCGGCAGGGCAGCCTCACAATATCTGTCAAGAAGCTTCCGGATGATCTCTTGCCCGGTGAAAAGGAGGGAAAGATCTGGATGTGGCATAGATGCTTGAGATGTCCTCGTGTTAATGGTTTCCCTCCAGCCACCCGACGAGTAGTGATGTCTGATGCTGCTTGGGGATTATCGTTTGGGAAGTTTTTAGAGCTCAGTTTCTCAAATCACGCAGCCGCGAGTAGAGTGGCATGCTGTGGGCACTCGCTCCATAGAGACTGCCTTCGTTTCTATGGGTACATGTTTCTTCTTCTCTCCCTATCTAAAATAACCAGCGGAATATGATTAAGTTGTCAAAAACTGGTGGGGTTTTCATGCAATTCGAAAATATTAGCCGGCGAAAGAAACACATTTCCTATTCTAGAAAGAGAAGTTTCCCTCTCGACCCAAATCCTGGTGGTTCCCTTGAAAAGTTTCAACTTTACCGCTAAATCTAAGATGATGTAGATGTTCATACAGTTAATGTGTGTTTCCTTTCTTGCTCTCACTAGTTTTTGCTCGTGCAGATTCGGGAACATGGTTGCCTGTTTCCGGTATGCAACTATAGATGTTCATTCGGTTTACCTTCCCCCTTCAACACTTAGTTTCAACTACGAGAACCAGGCCTGGATACAGAGAGAAACAGATGAGGTTCAATACCTTCAATTCTCTTGGATTTGGCTTCAAAGTCTCACACTTGCAGTTGAAGTAATTCGGCTTACTATGATCTTGAACAGGTGGTAGAGAGAGCAGAGCTTGTGTTCTCTGAAGTGTTGAATACTATTAGTCAAATTGCAGGGAAAGGTTTGAAAGAATCCAGGCGCCGAATTGGTGAACTTGAAGCAGCACTGCAACGAGAGAAGGCGGACTTCGAGGTGAGAGAACATGTTCTTGCCATATCAAAGAACTTCTAGAGCTCAGACACATGATAAAAATGTTGAAAAATGTGTCTGAATTTAATCTAAGGATCGAAGAAGAGCCATTTCAAGATAAGAATCTTGTTCTTTGAAAATTTGTTCTATTGGCTTTCTTCAAAAAGAAAAAAAACATGGTTCTTGTCTTAAAATTACTGGTTTCTCAGGATTCTTGCTCTTCTTAACCAAGAAAAAAAAAAAAGAAAAAGAGTTGAGAAACACTACTTTTATTTCTTCAATGTGGTGTTCTCTGCATTTATATGATGTCCCATTTGTTCATGTTCTTGAATTATTGCCTCCAGGAGAATATGCAAAAGATTTTGAACAGGGAAGTGAAAGAAGGCCAACCTCTGGTCGATGTTCTTGAGCTATACCGCATCCGTAGGCAGCTGCTTTTCCAGTCATATATGTGGGATCACCGCTTGATTAATGCAGCAGCTTTAGATAACCTCGAGACTGGAATCGACACTGAAAGAGAAGAACATGAGAAACCGATGATCAACTCCTTTAACTCTCTTCTTGCTGGGTCAGAGCCTCATCGAAACCCTAATGGTGAATTTCAGGCAAATACCAACTCCTTGGACACGGTTCTAAAGTCATCAGATACAAGCTTGGATTTGAATCAAGAGAAAGAAGATCGGGGTGAACTTTCTTCTTGCAAGACATTACCCGATGGATCTGACACTTTGAAACGTAAGCTCGATGTTCGTAGGTCACAGTCTGAAGGTCAATTAGCTATGAAAAACTTATCAGCCACCCTTGAAGCAGCATGGATAGGTGAACATCGTGCAGCGGTGGAGATTCCAAAAGATAATAACTTCACCCCTCCTGCTACCGTCTTATCAGACTCTTCAACTTTGCCTTCAAAGGTGGAGGGGCTGAAGCTGATGGACCTGACAGAACAGCTAAGTGAACTCAAGGTAGCTCGTCCGGTCTCACCTGCTTTACCGGGTAAGAATTATGAGCATACAGAAGATTCTGTGAGCTGGTTAGGTATGTCGTTTTTCAATTTCTACCGATCCATGAACAAAAATTTCCTGGCTAGCACTCAGAAGCTTGACCCATTGGGCAAATATCGCCCAGTCTATACTTCATCGTTCAGAGAATCAGAACTGCAAGGTGGGCCGAGATTACTTCTGCCGGTGGGTATCAATGACATTGTTGTCCCGGTTCATGATGATGAGCCCACGAGTATTATCGCGTATGCTCTGATGTCACCCGAATATCATCGTCAAATCTCTGGCGAAGGGGAGTCTCTGGTTTCATATCCTTCTGAGCTGAATCTCTCTCGTTCTATTGACGACACGATATTTGACCCGAGCAGAAGTCTTAGCTCAGTTGATGAGAGCATACTTGCCATGTCTACTTCTCGAAGCTCACTGCTTCTGGACCCGCTCTCTTATACAAAAGCTCTGCTTGTACGAGTCTCGTTTGGGGAGGATGGTACGCTCGGAAAGGTGAAGTATACCGTTACTTGTTACTATGCAAAACGGTTTGAAGCACTACGGAGCATGTGTATTCCATCGGAACTTGATTATGTAAGGTCTCTTAGCCGGTGTAAGAAATGGGGTGCTCAAGGTGGAAAGAGTAATGTCTTCTTTGCAAAAACACTGGACGATCGGTTCATCATAAAGCAAGTGACCAAGACAGAGTTGGAATCATTCATCAAGTTTGCACCTGCTTACTTCAAGTACTTGTCCGATTCTATCAACACGAAAAGCCCCACATGCCTTGCAAAAATCTTGGGAATTTATCAGGTTCTTGTTTCTAACCCTTCAAACTACATTGTATTTTCTGTCCTGATAAGTGTTTGCTCGTATCAGTGGAAAAAAGCTTCCTCACTTGGGCTCTAGTTGAGTTGGCATTAGATCCATTCTTGAGATAGATTTTGTTTTGACAGGTCATGGTGAAGCAACTTAAAAGCGGGAAAGAAACGAAGATGGACGTTCTGGTTATGGAGAATATTCTATTCGGAAGAACTGTGAAACGTCTATATGATCTCAAGGGATCCTCCCGGGCACGTTACAATCCCGACTCTACTGGGATCAACAAAGTCTTGTTGGATCAGAACTTGATTGAAGCAATGCCAACTTCCCCTATATTTCTGGGTAATAAAGCAAAACGACTTCTGGAAAGAGCCGTCTGGAACGATACCGCCTTCCTCGCAGTAAGTTTTTCGGCTGCATTCAGCTCCTTGACCTTAAACTAAAATCGAAAAGGTATCTTCTCTCCTCATCAACCTGTTAATTTCCGTGTTCTTGATGTAAAAACAGCTAGTTGATGTGATGGATTACTCGTTGCTGGTTGGAGTGGATGAAGAAAATCACGAGCTGGTACTCGGGATCATCGATTTCTTGAGGCAGTATACATGGGACAAGCATCTAGAAACATGGGTGAAAGCCTCTGGAATTCTTGGAGGGTCCAAGAACGATTCGCCAACTGTGATTTCCCCGAAGCAGTACAAGAAAAGATTCAGAAAGGCGATGACAACTTACTTCCTCATGGTCCCTGATCAATGGTCGCCTTCCGGTATCGTCCCGAACAGGTCCCAGTCCGACCTGCTGGAGGAAAACTCTCGGACCGGCATGGCGGCTGCCGAGTGATATTATAACCATACTGTAAGTTTTGTATAGTGTTGGTTTTGAAATGGAATCTCTATTCTTCGTCCTGGTTCGGCGTTTTTTAAAGATCTGGTAAAAGTTTTATCGTCCAGTGTTTCTGGATTTTGGTCATTACAGTAGCTTAGGAGATGTCTGAAATTCCTCTGCAAGGGATGAGATTATTGTATTACCTCTCTTCTCCAATCGTTCAAACCATATATAAAAGCTGTTTGTACAAAAAACAAAATTCATTTGTTCCATGGACTTACAAGACATTTATTTTTATTTTGTGTATAAAGCATCTCTCACTTGTAACGTGAGATGTTCGATGTGTCTTTGTACCTTTTTCACAGCTCAATTGTTTCTGTCGGTAACTTGCTTCCCAAGGCACAAAACCCAAAAAACATTGCATTGAAACTTACATACAGTATTGAATCTGTAACTCAGATTCAAACAGAATCTGGGATCTTCATCTTCTGTTTTTTTTTTTAACAAGAGAAATCTACAGAAGAAGCAACTGTCTGCTTCTTTCACATGGCCTTTTTTCTTTTTGTACAATGTTTTTTTATTCAGGAGGCCATTACGAGAGAACTGATTTGACCCCAAAAAAAAAATGAAAGAAACCAAAAAAAAAAATTGGAGAAGATGAGATATAATGTTTCTGGATAACTAGAACAGATTGAAGCTGCTCCACTTGATCGACATCAGCCCTTGTTGTGGAGCAGCTATCTGTCTATGATTCTTCCCCGAATCTATCAGCTGTTGATAACTGCGTTGCAGAAGATCAAGAATCTCTGCTTCTCTGTTCCATAAATGGAAAAAAAAAAAAAGAAATCAATTCAATCTGTTATTCTTCAGAATCAAATACGGTCCATATACACACTTCTCTGTGTGTGTGTGTATGTATGTATAGGAGGCACCTTGAGTAACAAGCTATTACTCTTGAGCTCTGTGGGAGATACCGAGGGCCTTCATCGTACCCTTCACATACGATCTCTCCATTACCATCTCTGTAACAGACAATACCTTCCACTGGATCCTCGAAAACCTGCTCAAGAAAAAACCAGAACCCGGTTTCAAGATTCATGTTTCGCCTACTGGATTGCGCCCAGATTCTCAAGAAAATCGGTACCCAGTTTCAAGAACCGTGTTTTATCAAGTGGGTTTCGCTCAGATTCTCAAGAAAACTCGGGAAAAAAAAAACACAAACACAGAGAGAGAGAGAGAGAGAGAGAGAGAGAGAGAGAGAGAAGGGTTCTGACTTTGTTCTTGGGGGAGAATCTGATGGACTGAGGGCGAGAAACAGCAACTTTCTTGACTTGTAATCGACTCTGTTGAAGCATCGAAGTGGTTCTTCTTACAGATTTGGGAACGGGACATGGCTTCTGGAGAGGGACACCGATCTGACATGAATACGCCATAGCCATTTGCCTGAATCCAAACAGTTTCAGACCAACAAAAGAGATGAAACAAGAGAGGTATCGGTTTTATTTTTCAGCAAACAAGCTATATATTTAATCTATGTAATATCGAAAGATTGCGGGGGCTAAATATGCAATTAAAAGTAACATAAAATGTAAAACTATAAAAAAGTAAATGAATTGTGACGTGGAGTCGTATCAAGTTATCAATTATTGAAAGTATTTAATGATTGTTTTTTTTTTTTATTCTTACCAAAACTATTGGGTGGGCTGTCCCTTTGGTTCTGTAGTCATTGACCTTCTGCTCATAAATCAACACCATTAACAACGACAAGTACACGCAATCAAATGTGTGTATACACACGCATACACTCGTATGTTTATTGTATCAAATAATTATACGTATGATAGAATTTTGTTACGGATAATCGTACACCCGTAAATATATATCTTGTAGAACACATCATAAACTACGAATATTTTATACGGATCGATAGTATATATTTATAAATAATTTTAGGTTTTTTATGCATTAATTTTACCAAGGTCTCAATGTAACAAAGAATTTGATTCTATATAGTTCACGAAAACTTTAATAATAACATAAGATATAAAGCTCCCAATATGTATATCAGTGGTAAAACGGTGATATTACTTTTAATCACGAAAACTATCCTAATATTACTAATATAGAGAATTTAGAAATTCAAATTCTATTTTAATTAGGAATGGAGACTTTAATATTTACAAAATTACCAATAAAATTGATTAACGAATATTTATCCCTAAAAATATCTAATTTAGTATTATTAACATCTTATAACGCAAATTACATGTTTCGCATATAGTTATATTATTACCTACTATATATCTATAAAAAAAATGAATAAAATAAGTAATTTATAATATTTATCCAAATCATCCAAGCGTGGCATATGTACGTACGTTTGGTGAGAAGTCAACTACTATTTTCTTTATTTATTTGATAAAACATGTAAATAATTATGTTATCGTGATGATTAGAGCAGAGATTAAGTCAATTAAACACGTAAACAATTATTTTATACTGATGATTAGAGGAGAGATTAATTCAATAAAACAACCCATAGAACTTTGTTCTTAGACATGACACATGAGGGCATGGCATCGTCGTGGGAAAAAGTCGTCGTTTTCTACTCCTAAACTAATATTATTAAATAATTTACCAAAAAAAACTAATATTATTAAATAACATTTTTTTAAAAAAAAAAATCGGTCCTCATTGGTATAATATTTACTTTTTTTTAATGGATCCTTGTTGGGCTGATGGGCCGAAAAAATGTCCAAAAGGGAATTTACTATTATTTTGCTTTTTTTTTCTCTAATTATTTTGAGATATCTTTCTCTCTCTCGTATCAAAAAAGATCATCTAGTAATTACAAATGCAATTATTTATGTCACTAGTCACTGGATTATTTAGTTTATTAATACATTTTCTATCACTCTATATATATATATATATGGGCAGAATATGAATTTAATGTGTGTTGAGCATAATGTGATTTCCTGTGGAAAAATACAATTAACTAGCTGTATGTATGTATGTATGTATGTATGTATGTATGTATGTATGTATGTATGTATGTATGTATGTATGTATGTATGTATGTATGTATGTATTTGGACTTCCAAAGCTCTTCTCCACATCTTTTCAGGCAACATACTTATCCTCTACTTACCATATATCTTACTCGCTTAATTAATCTCCATTTCGTACAAGTAATGCATCAATCTATATTTTTTAATTTTTGGATCAATTTTTAGAATTTTTTTGCTAATTATATAATATTATGTTTTACGGGAAAAATAAACTACAGGTTACATATAAAACAATAAACATACAAAACGCATTCGAAATTTCAAAAAAAAAATACATGAAGTTTTAAATCATTTTCTAATTATGCCAGTTTAAAAGAAAAAATATATATACTCAAGAGTTTATGTGTTTTTTATTTAAAATCATAAATTACATATAAAAGTTTGCAAAAACTTTCAAAATTTATAATATTTTCAGTTAAGCGAACTCGACACGCATGAAGAAATTCCTAAACTGTTTTAAATTTATGTATTCTTTAAAAAATCTGAGTCTATGAATTTATCAGATATTAGTTGCATGCACGTGTTTATTTGTAATTTTGTAAGGGTTTATGAACATTGAGATAATTTAAAAAAAAATGAAAACAAAAATACTTGTTATCATCTCTCTATGTGTATATATATATATATATATATATATATATATATATATATATATATATATATATATATATTAATATATATTAGGTAAATACGTAAATACGTTGGGCTATTATTATACATGAAACTGGTGTCTTTTGGACGCTAGTCCATTCTGAAAAAACTGGTCAAGGCCTTTTCAGTTTTCCCTCTACAGCTAATGCGATTTCTCGTCGACCATTCATGACAAACCTTCTTCGGCAGTTTTCTTCTCTCTCCCAAGGCGACTTCACAGATACAGACAGCCAAACTCCAAAGCCCTAAACAGACAAGACAAAGATCCGCAAGGGCAAGGCTTCCATGGACATCACGAGCACCGAGCTGAACTTCCAGTCTCGGTCCCTATCTCCTCCGGACATGGTAACAGCGCTGTGAGAGAGTTCAAGGGTAATATGTGTGTGCCCCCTTCTTGTCCAGTTCTTGAATCTGGGTTTTGGTTCTTTGAAATTTTCAGCAGAACAAGGCAGAGGCGGAGCCGAGAAACACGAACCCATTTGCAGAAGCCTTCCCAGATGATGATGACCCGTTATGCAGGATCAATCTCAAGGAGACTGCGGATTTCGTGAAGTCATTTCCCGTTCTATCAAACAGTAAGAGCGGGAATAACATGGGGAATGAGAGGAGAGAGAGTTTGTCATCGCAGAAGAGCATTGGAGGAGGAAGCAGTAGTTCACACAGAAGAGGTCGACAGTTTGAAGTATACCGTTACGTCTCAGGAGGAGGAGGAAGAAGAAGAAACTTCCCTTCGAAATGGGTCGATGCTGAGAAATGGGTTACTTCTGGTCATGAATCCCCTGCGCATTCCTTCAAGAACAGCCCCAGCAACATACATTTTGATGGGTTTAAAGTTAAACAACAGGTACATTCCTTTTCATGTTTCATCCACCGGATTTCGTTGCATTTTAGAGTAATTGGACAAGATCTAAGCGGTTCTAACTCGGTTTTTAGTCTCAAGAATCTGGAATCACGTTTCTATACACGGTCTCAGCTCGAAAAGCTTGGATCTTTGACGATGGGCTCGAGACATTGTACTTAACCTGGGGAAATTGTCTGGTAGGTGGATTTGGTTTTCTCGGAGAAATCTAGGGTTACAGAAGAGAAGGTGACAAGAACTGTCTCTGCATTCCATGGATCTCCGCATGTGGACCACCATTCTAGTTATGGCGTAAAAGGGTTTAATGGGTCTGTCTCATCATCTCCGACAGATCTTCTCCTTAAAGGTAAAACAATAAAAGAGAAGAAAAAGACTCCTCTTTTTTTTCTCGGCCATGTACTGTTTGGTTACTGAGAAAATCCGCAGGAAAAAAAAGTGTTCCTTTATTGAAAAAAAACACTGTTCATCAGATAAATTGGCCGATGAAGTCCAACAGATTCTCCCGAGACACAAAGCTCTCGACCCGTCAACTGAAGGGTTCCTGTTCAGAAACTCGGCCGACGAACCCACCGGAGACTCCTCGCCGGAGAAATTTCTCCGACAAGACCTTCAGCACAGAGATGTCGGAACAGAGATGACGCCGTTGGGAAGCCTGACGGTTTCGAGATGCCACACGCCGTTCAAGAGCTCGTCGCCGGCGAGACACAACACGCCTTCCAAGATGTCGGGACCTCTGACGGCGGAGACGAAGGGCGTTATCGACATATCGGAGTTCGCAGACAAGCTTCGACTCGGAGGGACGGCTCAGTACGACTCGGTGACGAGTAATTGGAGCTCGAGGGAGGAGGAGGAAGAGGAGATTTCGAAAAGTTTGAGGCATTTCGATGCTGGAAGCGAATTGAGGAGAAGCTTTTCTGAATCAAAGGCCAATTTGTGGGACGAGGAAGAGAAGATCAAATACTGCCAAAGGTACGTATTTGGTTTGATTTATCCATTTCTTATGCTCTTTCATTGATTTCGAAAATCAAAGTTTTATACTTTCTAATATAATATAGATTGTGAAATATTGCGGAATAATGTCTTTGCTCACATTTGATCCATTGGCTAATATCTCAGAATATATCTATTGTGTATCTCTAAATATAGATGGAAAGAAAATCGGTTCAATAGAATTGGTCTAGAGCTGGGTTGTGTTCGGTATCTGTTCTAGTTGAGAAAACCGAACTAAATTGAATTGATCGAGTTTGGTTTGGTTCGGTTCAACTAAGTTATGGTTGATATTATAAACCAATTCGAACTTGACCCTTTTGAATGTTAAAACCCAGCCAAACTAAAATCGAAATTGTTTTGATCAATTCTGTGGGTTAGATACATAAAATTTGATCATTTTTATATAACTTATATAGTTTTTTTCCCAATAAAATGCATAAAATACGAGTCCATGACAGTTATACGATTGTGAATTGTGAACGTGACTAATAGGTACCAAAGAGAGGAAGCGAGAATTCAAGCATGGGTTAGTCTCCAAAGCGCTAAGGCCGAAGCTCAATCTAGGAAACTCGAGGTACTTTCTATTCTCTCCTTTTCCCCTCTCTCGTATTTCGTATATATATGTATATATACGTATATACATATGTATCATGCATATGTATCTGTGTGTATATATAATAAAATACTGAATTTTTGTCCGTTCTAATGGATTTGTCGAGCCACCCGCCTCACTTGACCGGTCTTCGTTGCTTAGACAAAAAGCCAAGAAAAGTGAATGAAAGTCATCGGAACCCTAATTTTATAAGTGGACGTGTTCTTCTTCTTCGTCGTCGTAAGTTGTGTAGTCCATGTGTACATATGATTGGTTTGAAATGGATATCTATTGTCATTCTTTTTGGAAATAGATTTAGATTTTCAATGCATTTAACGCCTACGTGCCATGAGGATTAATATAATGTATGAATTTCGAATAATCATGAATCATGATATAAAGATATGAATTTCGGACAGTATAATTTTCAATGCATTTAGCAATATTTTTCAAGATGTTTATGAATTTTGGGTAATTACGATACAAGTATATTATTATAAATTTGTATTTACGTAAAAGGTTTCAATTTGTATACATGAGTCTTATAATCTTATAATATCTATTATATAATCGACTTTTTTTTATTTATAAAATACTTGTTAGGTGAAAATACAAAAGATGAGATCGAATTTGGAGGAGAAACAAATGAAGAGGATGACGGCGGTTCATCGGAGAGCTGAGGAGTGGAGAGCCACCGCGAGGAGGCAACACATCGAGCAGATGCAGAGAGCTGCGGCTGAGCGATCGAGGAAGACGGTGAACCGTCGTGGCTCCGCCGCAGTGGTCAGCCGGAGCTCGTGCGGTTGCTTTCCTTGCCACAACAACCATTCTTATTATCATTAGCTCGTGAAACAAATAATGTAATGTGGACGAGGAAGAGAAAATTAGTTTTTTTTTCCAATTCTATATTTTTACTTTTATTAATAATGTTTTTCTATGTGGATAAAGAAAAATATTAATAGGTTAACTAACTATATATATATATATATATATTTCATGAAAACATGATCCACATTAATTTCTTGTTACAGGTAGGAGTAGGGGTGGACATTTCATTTTGGTTATAATAATAATTTTAGAAACCCGAATATTTCTGAAGAATCGAGTTAAATATTAAAAATATTAAAAGAGCAAAAATTTATAAAAAAATATATATTTTTCTTAATAAAAATTGAAAACGAAATAGAATCAAATTAAATATAATATAATATTTGATTGATATATGTATTTTTTCTAATATCGAATAACTCGAACCGTACAAATATTGAAACGAAATCGAACTGATAGCATATTCTCCCCGGTGGACAAAATATCCAAAATACCCTATTTCTACTAAAACTACTTCTGCATATATCCTTATTCAGATATGATCATGTGACAAGAATAATTGTATGATCAAATGATGGTCGTATTGGTACAACGTTAAATTTATGATGATTTCACTAAGTGATTAGTGTGGTATGTAAGGTGTGGTCATGGTGACTTGATATAATCACTATAAATTTAATGTTACAACCAATGTGACTATACAATTATTCTGATCATATGGTCATATTTGAAAAAAAGTATATGCAGAAATAGTTTTAACAAAAAGAGGGTATTTTGGATAATACTCCAGCTCACTGTTAAAATCTAAGTAGTACCTGAAATCCCTAAATTGCCCCTCACAAAACCATTTAATGGGCATTGAATCTTGATGGTGAAGAGGGGTGTAAAATGGGCGGGTCGGGTCGGGTTTGGATCGGGCTTAGTTCGGGCTTAGATTTTTTCGGATCGGGCCGGCCCACCCATTTATTTTTTGGGCCTATGATCGGTGGCCCGGAGCCCGGCCCTATAGAGCTTCGGGCGGGTTCGGCTCGGGTTTCGAGTTTTTTTTATTTAATAAAAAATAAATATTAATATATAATAATAATAATAATTTAAAATTTTAAAAAACAATAATAGCAAATTTTCGCCTATATCAATTATAATTAAAAGATAATTAACGATAACTACGACCATGTCCATTTACCTATTCTCTCGATCCTCTTGCTGGTTGAACTAAATCTTCTCGTCTATATTTCTCTGCGATTACTGATAATCTGTCTTTTAGAAATCATTGCGTTTTGAGATTTGTCAGTCTGTTTTCTCTAATATTTTCTCTATTTTCTCTATTTCTTATAGTTTATTTCATCTAATCAAATATTCTTCTGTCTGATTTTTTTTTTCTGTAGTATTCATATGATCATTTTATTTTCTGCACATAAGGTGTTTGATGAAATTCTTGAAACAAAAAACGATGGCAGGTTCCAGTATGTGACCTGCGGTTTACGACAGGTCACATAAATTAATTAAACCAAAATCTAATCAAACTGTTTAATAATATATATATATATATATATATGTATATAATATAAGTTTGACATATATTCATCAAATTGTTTTGAAATATATATATATATATATATATATATATATAACATACAAATAAAAGTTTTTATATAATATTGTGTGGTATTAAATTTCAAATGAAAGTAAAAATCTAATAATATAATATTTTTTCGGATTAAATGGACGGGCCGGGCGGATTTCGGGCCGGACTCGATTCGGCCCTAACTTTTTGTGGGTCGGGCTGGCCCGCCCATTTATTTACCGGGCCTATATTATTAGGTCCAAACCCTTAATTTTTCGGACGGTTTTAGACCAGGATTCGGGCTTCGGGTTCTATTGACACCCCTTATTGAAGGTTGGTTAGCATTAAGAAAAGATATTCGGTTTAGAATTTTTAATTTCATAGGGTTTATATTTAATTGATTATTTTTACATCGAATTTTCATTTGACTAGATTTCCTTCCTTTTTTCCGGACAAATATTTATTTTGTTAATTGTTTATACATCTGATTTTGTGGTGGATTAATTTAATTTTTAAAAATTATAATTAATATGATTCCTTTTAGAATTAAATAAATTCATACTGCATTTGGCAGCGTTGCACGGCATTGAATAAATCCAAAACAACAGATTGAGAAAATCTTTTGGGTAAAATTTTCTTTTTCTATAATCATGAAACAAGTAGATTGCTTTATATATATATATATATATATTACATGATAAGAAAAAAAAGTCTTAAATTTATTAGAGAGACAGTCACCGACCCAAACACACTCTTTTTTCGCAGCTTTTCATCAATACCGTATTTCACGTCAAACCCCTTCCTTCTTCACAGATTGTTTTTTGTTTGTTTCTGTTTATTTTTATTCTCTCGAAATCATACATAAATTATTTTAAAAAAAAATATTGTGATGTGTCTTATCAAGTTTTATCTCTAAATTTTTTTTGGGTAAATAAAGTATGCCGATATAATTGTAAAATTGTTTTGATAACACGATATTTTGGGAGGAAGTCATATGAATATTCCTTATATTTAAATTCGAGACAAAACAAACATTTGCATCTCTATTTCACCGGTTGAATTTTTCAAATTGAGTATAATGGTATAACAATGATAGAAAAGAACTCTTGAATAACTCTAAGTAATATTATAATTTTACCATCCAATTTGCTAGACTCCAATATAAATAAAAATATTAAAAAAACTATAAAAAATAATTATCATCATATTATTTTTTTATCTAACCACGTGTTTTACAAATTAAGCAGTTACGAGATTAAAAAAACCATATGAAAGACTAGGAGTGAGCATTTTGATTTGGAAATTTAGTTCTACAAAAGTTTGAATCCAAACCGAATAATATTATATTCTAATTAATATAACTTTTATAGATCCGAATAAACTATTTTTAAATCATAAATATCGAACTAAAATCTAAATTATCCACCTTTATATATTATATCGAATCTCATTTGTTGTTTGATATTTATATAATAAAACAATTTCGAATTGAACCGAAACAATTAACATCCAATTTGATAATATCTGAACCAAATAAATTATTCCCGAATTGAATCCTGCGAATTCAAAATGAAACTATATTTTTAAATGATTTGTGTAGCATTAGCCCAATATTAGGCCCAATTAAAGGTTGACGATCTAAAGTAGGCCCAATAAGTTATATTTAGCCCAAACCTAGGCCCAACTTAAAATGTTGGCCCACGACTGGGCGAAATGTCAGAATCTTTCTAACTTGCTGCTCAAGAAGTGAGCGTCTTCGGAAGCTAGGCAGGAGCAGACTGACGAAGAAAGCAGCATACTTCGGTTCGCAGATCGAGGAACGGGTGAAATTCTCTCTCTTCTTTGCAAGTTCGCACTGAATGTTCTTCGTTTTCAATTCGTTTTTCTGGGTTTCTGATTTCTCCTTGATCCGTTCAATTTCAAGGGTTTCACTCCTTTGTGCTGACACTAAGGCTTTTCAGATCGAATTCTGAGAAGAAGATGTTCCTCACCAGGTAAAACCAGCATTTTCCGATCCTTCGGCTTGAAAATTCTAGGTTTTTTTTTTTTTTAATTTCTGGGTTTACTTCAGTTGTTTTCCTCTTTCGCGAACTTGCTGTTCTTGTCGAATATCATTGATCGTTTCTGGGTCTTTTCCGATTGGTTGTTCGAAGGACTGAGTATGACAGAGGTGTCAACACCTTTTCTCCTGAAGGTCGGCTGTTTCAAGTCGAGTATGCCATTGAAGCCATCAAGGTAAACTCATCGATTTCTCAATCCGTATGTTTCCATGGAAAGTAGTTAGCAGCATCGGGAGAATAGAGGAAAAAGGCGTTTCTTTGTTTAGATAGTAAGTCCTGGAATGAAATTTTCTATGATTGCTTAGCTCTTTGCATCGACTTAGTTCAGTTTCCATTTCGGCTCTGATGTTCTTTGTTGGGATTGGCTTATATTAGGATTTGCCTTTCTCTATGGATTTGGTGTCAAGGTTTTAATGGGTGAGTAGTTCAGTTTCTATTTCGGCATTGATGTTCTGAGTTGGAATTGCCTTAGATTATGACCGGGTTCCTCTATGGACTTGGTGTCAGGGTTTTGATGGGTGAGTTGTTCGGTTTCAATTTCGGCATTAATTCTGATCGCCTTAGATTAGGATTTGCATTTCTCTATGGATTTGTTGTCAAGGTTCTAATGGGTGAGTGACTCTTTCAGCTTGGCTCTACTGCTATTGGAGTAAAGACCAAGGAAGGAGTTGTGCTTGCTGTCGAGAAGCGTATCACCTCGCCTCTTCTGGTCAGTTCTCTTTGTTTTTCTCCTTTTGTCATGTGTTCCTACTGCACTTGCTGTGTTTCAGGTTCTTTCCAGTAGATATGGACTCAGTTTAGTTGCTTCTATGGCCATTTTAGATTTTTTTCTAGTCTGCTCTGCTTTTAGACTTAAGGCTGTTTTTGGGGATTTCTGGTGTTCACATTTGGAAACAAATAGGATTTCTGCTTGAGAAAGCATGATGAAGAAGTTGGAACTTGGAACACTCAAATTTCTTACAGATAATAGTCTCCTTAACGTTTCTTGGACAGAATCATGTTTATGCTCAGCCCATAAGGAAACTTGTACAAAGAAGTGATTTTTGGCTTTATTTTGCTCGACAAAATCACAACAGGGAACTTGAAAGTTTGAAACTTTGAATTTCATGAGGCATTCCAATAGGAGAATCAAGTAGATCAAGTATGGGATGAATGATTCTCGTTGAAGTATGTATGAGTTGTCTTCTTATTGCGTCGATGAAGAAACTGGTATCAGCCCATAAGGAAACTTGTACAAAGAAGTGATTTTTGGCTTTATTTTGCTCGACAAAATCACAACAGGGACTTGAAAGTTTGAAACTTTGAATTTCATGAGGCATTCCAATAGGAGAATCAAGTAGATCAAGTATGGGATGAATGATTCTCGTTGAAGTATGTATGAGTTGTCTTCTTATTGCGTCGATGAAGAAACTGGTATCAGTTATGGTGTTCAGCAGCGTTTCATCAGTCTCTCTTGAAATATTTTTGCCAGGAGCCGAGCAGTGTGGAGAAAATTATGGAAATTGACCAGCACATAGGATGTGCCATGAGCGGTCTGATTGCTGATGCCCGTACACTAGTTGAGCATGCACGTGTTGAAACTCAAGTGAGGCTTTTAGTTTACAGTTTCTCTTTGTTGTTTGCCATTGTTGAACATGAAGAGGCTTTTGTGTTATTTTACCGTCTCTTTTCCTGTTTGACAGAATCACAGGTTCTCGTATGGTGAGCCAATGACTGTAGAGTCTACAACACAGGCTCTTTGCGATCTTGCTTTAAGATTCGGTGAAGGAGATGAAGAGTCAATGGTAATAATAGTTTTCTTGTGTATAGCATTGGAATCTCGATCATTTATCCATTTTATATGAATTTTTACGGTTTACATGGATGGTTGTTGAATGCAGTCACGGCCATTCGGAGTATCTCTTCTCATTGCTGGTCACGACGAAAATGGACCGAGCCTGTGAGTAATGATTCTTCACTCTGCTGTCTTTCCACTGATAACATAATTAAAGCCCAGATTATTGTTCATATAGACCAAATTAATCTATCAAACGTAAGTCATTTCTGTATAATGAAAGGACTTTTCTCGTGGATCAGATACTACACAGATCCATCAGGCACATTCTGGCAGTGCAACGCTAAGGCCATTGGTTCAGGGTCAGAAGGGGCTGACAGTTCCCTGCAAGAACAATTCAACAAGGTCCTTATTTGCATCATCCCGAGGATTATTATACGATCTATGCGAGTTTTGTCATTAAATTCAATGTCCTAACCTTACAGGATTTGACTCTCCAAGAAGCTGAAACTATTGCCATGTCCATCCTCAAGCAAGTGATGGAAGAAAAGGTACTGACTTTACTGAAACTATAACACACCCGTTATCCATTTTCATCCATTTTCGGTTCGAGGATTCCGATATTCTCGTTATGTCGAAAAGGTGACTCCAAGTAACGTGGACATCGCCAAGGTGGCACCCGGATACCATCTCTACACTCCACAAGAGGTGGAGGCAGTCATCACCCGTCTTTGATGAAAAAATCTTCCGGTGGGAATCTTCGAATTTCCGGTGAGTGATTTCTCAACTTGTGTCTGCTTCTGGATCTGAGACCAAGAAACTGTCTTTTGCACCTATGGAAACAAACAAACATTTTCACCTATTGTCTGTCAAATGGTGAATGTCAAAACACTCACCCAGTTGTTTAAGAACTTTTCTTTCATCTCTGAACGTCATCGGACAAATGTCTGGTTATTTCAGTTCTGAAGTGTTTTGTCTGGTTCAAGTTTCATGCGTTTGATTACATACAAAATCCATATTATAAGCAGTACTTGGAAGGATTATGGTTATGGAGGAGAGGTATTGGACATTTGTTTTACCATTCTAAAATTTAAATTGGATCATGTAAGAGAGGAATCATATTGTAAGAAAAAATATATTAACCATTGGTTATAATCCAATGTAGAATAATATTTTCTTTCTCATTTATGTAATGGCTTCATAGTATCATTGCATTGTCCAACGAGTGACTCTGACTGCCTTATTTTTCAACACTAACTGGTAGACAAGATGCATATATTAAGCACAAACTTCTTTTTTTGGATATAATGCACAATTTAATTTTTAATCGCCAATAATTATTATTATAGAGCCAAGTTAAATGGAAAACCGGTTTCCGATAACCAATCCGCCCCATCGATAAACCGGTCGGCGGTATACTCCTCAGCCTCTTCGGGATCTGTAATTACTTCAAAGCCCTTCCAATTAACTCTAAATTCCGTATTTGCCCCTGGTCCTCTGTTCGCATACTCTCTGTAAATCAGAGTGTCCAAGGCGAAGTTCCCATTCCACAAGTGCCAGCCTTCAGGTCGGATCACGTCGGAGATGTCGGATTGCATCACGACCGTCCGTGAGAACCTCTTCCACGGACGGCCAAGATAGGTCGGAAAATCATCCTCCGCTTCCCGGAGATCCAACGTGGCACCGATCCGACAATTCTGGATAACGATGCCGGTGTTCTGGTTTGGATCCGTTCGACCCTGCGCGGTGACCATGTTCCTCTGCTCTGGGTTCGGTCTCCGCGCGTGGATGTCACAGTCCTGGAAGACCACTGCCGCGTTGCCGAAGATGAAGTCGACGGTTCCGCTGACATGGCACTTCACGAAGAACTGGCGTTTAGAGTGGACGTAGAGAGTGTCTTGGTATGCGGAGATGTTGCATCTGTAGAATGCAGATTTGTCTGAACCGACGCGTAGAGCCACGGCTTGATCGTTCGAGGGACCGGCTGTGTTCTCGAAGGTGATGTCGCGGGCCATGAACCCTTCCCCCACCGCAGCTGTTTAAGGGTGGAACCATATCATTAGTTACACATCCTTAGTAAGACTATAATTTCAGCTTCCCACTCCGGATTCGGTTATATTTGAGTTCATTTTTTTTAGTATTCAGAAAAAAAAAATAATTATTCGATTTTTATATTGATTTTGGTTTGGTCCAAATCTATTTTGTCTTGGGGTTTGGTTCGGTTTTGATTTAGATTATTTTTTATTGATAAAAATATTAATTTTTCAAAAGAAAAAAATCGGTTTTTTCGAATATTTTCCTTCCTTTCAGTTTGATTTTTGGATTTCAATTTTTCCGATTTTATAAAAGAAACCCATCATTATTCGATTTTTCTATGAGATTTGGTTAGACTGCCATTATATATTATTTGGGATCGATTTCACACTGGTAGATACCCGATTTATTAAATTAAATACTCGAAGTCTTAACCGAATCATTGTAGATTCTAAATATATTACTCGAATCCGATCCATATGTTTCAATATCCGATTTTCAAATAATTTTGGAGATGGGTGGGGTATGAGGTTTTTTGCCCACCACCCCTACGTTATATATACGGTATAAATACATTGGTAAACGTAGAGAAAAGCTTGATATATACGTACCGACAGTAGCAGACCGGAATGTAGTCATGTCTTCGTTACCGCCGACGCTCCTGTCTCCGGTGATGAAGGTCTTGGTCCGACCATCTCCGACGAACATCAAGTTCATCTTGTTGCTCGGAACATTAACGTTCTCTCTATAGACTCCGGCCTTTATCTTTATCACATACCTCTCTGTCCTTTTCTTCGGCGCCGCCTCCACCGCCTCTCCCACCGTCGTGAAATCTCCGGTCCCGTCCGCCGCCACCACCACATTCGGCTGAACGCTTTTCGATTGAAGGAGTCGCCTTTTATTTTATGTATTCAGGACATGATGATGTTGGAATTAGAATAAGGGTTATATGGTTTGATGTTTAGACGAGAGAATATCATTTTTAAAACATTTTGGAAGAAAAAATAGTTTAAATGGAAATGTTTCTCTTAATCTTTTTCCTTCGAATATTTTCCTCAATTTTTTTATTTATAATTTTTTTATAACAACACATTTATATTACAACTCTTGCACATGATAACACTATTACAAAATATATATATATATATATATATATTTTATATATATGTGTATGCTTATATATATACATGACTATAGAGTACATGTGTATGAATGTATATACGTAGATATATGTGTTAATGAATTAATTGGATTAAAACGGGTTTGGTAGATTGATCCAACACAACCCATTATTATTATTGGATCGATCCAATTCAATCCATTAATTTATCTAATTTAAATTGATTGGGTTTATATGGATCCGTTTAACCAAATTGATTTTACTGGTTTACCTATGGTAGGGTTTGCATAAATGGGTTCCGGATAAATGCACGTTACAAGATTAATGACTCCTGATTTTCACGATTATTGTCAAATTACAAGTCCAAAAATTATTTTCTAGTGGTTTAAAAACAATAGTAACAATTTAAAATCAAAGTAAAATTAATGATTAAAACTCTATAATTTTCAATACGGGTACCTGTCGTCTGCCGATAACCAGCATGGCCACCCATCTTTGTCGGTGGCCGCCGCCATTGTTGCCTCCTCGAGCTTGCGCTTGTTGAAGGGTCGAGCCTTTGGTCGTGAGTTGGCGATGTCGGTGTCTGTCATATTCTTGATCAAAGCTAGTGCAATGCCACATAGACGCTGTATGTATACCTACATATGTATATGAATCGTTTGATATTTTCTTACTGACATATACCACATAAAAATATGATTTCATGGACCGACCGACTTCATATATATATATATATATATGCATGCGATAGAATATTATGCATTGTTTGAGGAGTATAAAATTTCGTGTATAACATTCCTCAATTCCATCCATGCAACAGTCTTGTACAAAAACATCGGTTGTACATAAATATACATATATATATATATATATATATA